ATGATCAAAACAAGATTGGATAAGCAGAGAAAAACACATTGTAAAGATATTTCATAGATTGTATTCTGAAAGATTGAACAATACATCAGAAGGAAATACACTTGCTTTTGTTTGTCCAGCTAGATACAAAGCTACTGTCTGACAAAGCAGATTCTTACCTGGTGTGCTCCTTGAGAGCACAGTTTTAGCAAAATAATCCCGCACTGATAATCTAATACACTTCTTCATATAGCAGCCTCACACAAGCGTAGTTAAATACTACCTTCTAAAGAGGAGGTCAGCTGTTAGCACATCCATCACTTCCATGCAAATTGCAAAATGGCAAATAAATCCTGCAACTGAGATTTCAACCCCACTCGGAGCCCCTCCACTGGACAGCCTTGCTGATGCAAATTTGCAAAATCAGACATGCCAACGCACCACCACCCTGGGTCTATATTTTCTCACTCCATTCTACCAAACCCAGCCAGAAGGCAGGGTAAAGTGATTTGGAAGTATCCATGAGTAGTAGGAAGTATCCATGAGGAGTAAGAAGTAACCATGGGTAGGAAGAGCCCAAATAGCTTGCATATGCAACACAAGGGACCAAAAGAAACAAACAGAAGCATCATTAAATGAAGTTTGAAAATATGGTGTAGGCTATGAAAGAATAAGGGACACACTGTAATTAATGCATCCATTAATGCTTAGTAACTTTCTAACCCTTTTTTACCAACCAATCGGCAATTTTTTAAAAAATTCAACCCAACAACCCAAATCTTGCTTTGTCTCTCTATTTCTTTATTTCTTTCCAACATGGATTAATAAAATATTTGGATACTACCATAGTATATATTATTTCTTATGATTGCCTATGCTTAATGACCCATAATAATATGTTATATATCATTAATATACAGTGTATATATAAGACTTGATCCATAATCACATTCCACTCTTAATTTTTGGAGAGTCAAAAATATTAGATGATGTTTAGTATTACAGAAGTCATAATAAGTATAATAGGATTCAAATAATAGATTTATTAAGAAATTAAACTTGGAGAATTCTGACTGATGTTGATATGGGGGCCATTGCTAGAAATGAAAATAGTCATAGAAAGGATCCTTACATTTGGGGAGAAATTTCTTTCCGAATTCTAGCAGTACTAGGGTGTTAAAAAAAATAAAGCGAGGACCTGCTGAGTGGCGCATTGGTTAGGAGTTGGCTTGGGACGCCAGCTCTGAGCAGCAGGGCCCTGCTTTGGATCCCACATGAGGGCCAGTGATGCTGCGCCCTCTACAGCTAAGATGGTGAACAACAGCTCAACCTGGAGCTGGGCTGCTATGAGTCCCCAGCAACAGCATAGGCTGCAGTGGGGCTAGCCGGCAGCTGGCCTGCGCTTTCATGAGTAGCCGTGAGCCACCATGAGCAGTTGTCCAATGGCCAGTGAGCAACTGCCTCACCCAGGAAGGACGCAATAATAATACCAAAACATGAGCCAGTGAATTGACATCCTCCACAACTAGACTGAAGAACAAAAGGACAGCAACTTGTCTGTTTCCCTTCCCCAATTCCCCAATAATAAAACCTTTAAAAAAAATAAATAAAATAAAACAAAATAGAGTGAGGAGGGTAGGGCAGAATTGAGAGTTATCTCCTAAACAGATATTCAGAAACAACTCCAAATGCCTAGCTTGACAAAAATGGAGCCATTAGCTATTGAGAAGATTTCAGAGGATCCCAGCTGAGAAAGTGTTCAAAACCAGAGAGCATCGGATGGCAGGGGTAACAGTAAAAGATGGCATCAGAGTCCCAGAGCCTGGAAGATTTCTATTTCAGCTGTCATGGCTATGCAAGATGCAGGGTTTTCCTCACCATTGTTCTCCAGGCATCACGAGACATTACAATGCTCCTTATGGAGTAATGAACACTGTATATCTAAGAGAGTTTAATATACTAATATACTATTTTTTCATAATTCTAAAATATATCAGAAAGTTTGAAAAGTAAAAACAAAAAAGGGGGAGGAGAGAGAAATTAAACTAATTTTCTGGCCCATTCACCTCTGTACTAACCTCCACTTAACGTTTACTTTTTCCCATTCATCCTGGAACCCAAGCTCATCACTTTGCATCAGGGTTGGATGAAGAGTTGACATAATAAACTGTGGTTATATTTGAATTCAGCTAAAGAAGATAGCGCATGAGAAACTTAAGATTGGGTAACAAGATTTAGTAGGCTGTTCAGTAAGCAGCAAATCTACAAGTGTTGCTACGCAGGCTTCAAGCCAGTCATCCAAAACCTTTCAATGCAAATTCTAGCAACTATCTGCACCTTGCAGAAAAATGTTATGCGAGGTCTGCATGTGCAATTTATGCTTTTAGCATTTCTGTACATAATTTCACTGCAAGTGGGATCAACTTAACATTATTAAACATGGTCCTGTTTTATTTACAACACAACTTCAGAAACACATTTTCTTAGGTGTACTGAAATATGATGCATCATTTAAAATTTAAAGATCTATCCCACAAATGAAAAAATAAATTATGGTTATGAATAAAATTTTTAAAAATCTTTCACCACAAAATCCACCTGGAAAAAAATCTCTTTTTCTTTATTACCTAAGGATATTACCAGAGCGCAACAGAGTTCTTTCAGATTGAGTCAGAAAGTTCTGTGTTGTTAAGAGGTCTAGCCAAAGACTCTTTTCCTTGAAAGCACATGTCCCTCCCCAAACCTACCTCATACACAAATATACTGTTTAGAACAAGAGGTCATATTAGGAAAAAGTGAAATGAAGATTGTAAGTCCTGGTTCCTGTGGTGCCCGAGAATTAATAACTTTCATTAAACTAGATTTTTGTGACACTTAGGGATTGCTGTCAATACTGAATCCATGCCAAGAAAATCAATCCTCCAAGGGAAAAGCAAAAGGGATACAGATTTCAGCTCTGTAGAAGAAAACATTTTCTATCAGTATGTTCAGAGGTAGGATAGAAAACCCCATGAAGCAATCAATTCTTGACACTGGAGGTTCGAGAGTACATCTTGGTTCAAATACTTAGTGAGGAAGTGCTTGAGCTAATTTTAACGTTAAGTAATCCAAACTGTATTCAGATTTTATCATTCTGATATAACATTTGTGGTGCACTGCCAATAAAAGGAGCTAAAAAAAAATAACAGAAAATAAGTACTTGTGTGAAAGTTATTTTTTATTATATACCTAGACTCTCATTTATGTATAAGTAAAAGTATGACATATAGGTGAGACCAGATAAGATGAAAAATCTCATTGTGTTTCTTTGTTAGAAATTGTCCTTTCAGAAGATTAGTAGTATGCTCAGTATTATGAGTTGAAACCTCATTAAAAGTTATGATTTGAAATTTTCCTCAAAATAGTTGTAATAAAGTGACTCTTCTCTTATTTTCGTTCAGTACAATTAACAGGGCTCAAATACCTTTCCTTGTTGACATGTCAATGTGACCCTCACATAGGGTGTTTTATAACAAGTTGTTCTGCTGTATTGATTTCTCATGAAAATTTCATGGTGGTGGTACAGACTCAGGAGAAAGAAAGGTGTCTCCTATCCAAAAAGCATGCTGGGAAAAGGAATTAGCAGTAAGTTCTAAGAAATTCTAAATAACTTTTTAAAAAAGAAAGCAAGTCTTATTAAACATAGAAGTGAAACCCAGCTTAGATAAAGCAATGAGAATTCTTCAAAAGGAAAAGATAAATATAGGTTTTAAAACTGAAGATGGCCAACCCAAGAGCAATCTAGGATAACACGTACAGTAATCTATATTGGACCCAAAGTTTTAATGATATAGTTAGTTACATTCATCTGGTGGTAGTATTCTGGAATAAATGGAATGCAGCTTGTTATATTTGAATGTATTCCACAATATTAGTATGTAGGATCAGATTTACAGGCCTGATCTCACCCTCAGGTCCACACTGACAAAAATACATCAGTTAAAATGTGAATTTCAACCATCTTTTGGGAAAGGAAACATTATTATGTGGACAGACCCTATCATGTCCATACACAAACCATTTCTCTGCAGTATTCTATATGATTTCTTTAAGACCAATGTATCCTTTATTAATGTAGTACAGCATAAATATTAGTATAGTAAATTATTTTATAACTAGTATAAGTGACCAGCACTGCAACCACCAAACATACTCCAAGAAGTGTTGTAATCTCTAGAAGTTACAATATCTAAATGCCATTATTCTCCATCATAAGGCTGCCATAACATACTTTTTTCTGCAGCAGGAATATATGGAAATGCCCTCTAAAATATATTTAGAAAAAATATGTGAAATTTCACAAGACTGATATATTTTGAAAATTAGCCACACTTCTTAATTTTTTTTTCTTCAAACCTACAAAATTGACAAAAGGAACCAAGCTTACCCACTTCCAGAAATTGCTGAATCAAATAGATAATATATGTCAAAGTCATTTACAAAACTGTAAAAGCCATATTAGCATTTGAATTTCTATTGCAATTTTGACTCTTAGAAGAAGACAAGTGAGATGTAAAGAATATTTCACCAGGAACTTAGACTCAAACTCTAGCCCTGCCCTAGAGTAGTGGTGTGAATTTTCAAAAAAGCATGCACTCTTCCTGGAGTTCCATTGCTAACCTATACAATATAAAAACATTCAAATGAAATTGTTCAAAATAACACAATTAAGAGCCTGAGCTTTTTGCACAATATCAGAGATGGTGCCAAACTCTTTTTCTCTCCAGAATTTTTCAGTAGAACAAGTAGTTAAAATCAAAGGACCCTGCAGCTGTTCCAAATGCCCTGTGTCCATCTTTAAAGATTTAAATCACACATTATTGCAGGTAGTCAAGGAAAAAAGCAGCTTAACGAGCTTCGGTACACCCTTAATTAAATGATAAATGTGTGTCAAAGTAACTTTAATCAAATTCCACTTGCCTTTAATTCAAGAACATAGTGATCTTTCATATTCCTTAGATATCACGATGCATGTCAAATACACATTAAGAAACCCATTATCCATACCTGAAAAGGCTGCCTGCTGGAAATGGCCAGGTGTTTCCTTATCCATCTGTTGCCTTGATTCCCAAATATCTGCCACAGCAGCTGCCCTCTTGTGTTACTCCAGATTCGCTGGTAGATGGCCAGCCTGTATATGTGCTTTCCGAACATGTGGTAATAGAAGCGGAAGGTGCAGCCCTCCATGTCAGTGGCATTGAGGATTGGGCTAAGCAACGCTGCTGTGTTTTGGAAAACCTGTGGCTCCGAAGATTCTATGTAGAGATAGTGTCCCTTAGCTGTGCCCAAAGTGTTATCCTTCATTGGCCCTGTATTAAGTGTTGAAGTTGGACCCTGGTTCCTGGTCCAGTCGAAATCATCTTCTGTATCCTGTTCCCAGTTACAAATTCCATTTTCAAAGTTGCATTGTAGTCCAGGTGCTGAAATTGGCATTAAATAATGTCAAAATATAATTAAGGAGAAAAAGAGCTATGACTAAGAATGCTAGTTGCTATTTTGCCCCTGCCAAGAAAAACAATTTTAATTAAAAAAAAAAACCCAAAAAACAAAAAACAACCTGAAGTTTTAAAAAGAGTGAATAAATCCTAGATAATACATCAAGTAATAATATTTTATGGACTGAAGGTAGAATTACTTTGGCCATTATTTTCCAAATGCCCTTTAGGCCTGTCCCTTCTCTGTTTCTATTAGTGGAACTCCAGGCAAATGATCACGACCTCACAGCTGGCTCGCTGCAACAAACTTCTGGCTCTGTGGATATCAACCTTCGCTGAATGTTCCAGTGAGCATTAAAAAACCAAAACACATGAAACAAAACACACCAAAGCCCAGGATTCATCTCCAGAAATGTTGATTTAATTGGTCCAAATGATAGAGCCAATCATCAGGATATTTTATCAGTTCTCTTGGTGATTCTAACACGCACAGCTGGGAACAGTCATATTTTAATAGGTCTCAGTCTTTCAGAACATCTGGGCTGCATGGTAAAATTGCATACTCCGTGGTGAAGCCTGCGGAAGCACTAGTTTGTTAGATGCAGGGTGAAGCCCAGGAATCCATATTTTTAACGAGCACCCAAGACGATTCTAATGCAGGTGTTTTGCGGACCTCACTCAAAAACTCCTCTCTCTGGCTCCAACCTGCCCCATTTCCAAGTGTCCCTTCCACCCACTGCCAAAATCCTTGGAATATATATATATATATATATATATATATATATATATATATATATATATATATATATATATACTCATGTAATCTCAACTCCTCCATCTTTCAAGCTTCACCTTTACCAAATTCAATTGACTTCCTGTTCATCCCTAATGATCCTAGCCTGGAGCACGCGCCATCTTGCCAATGTGCCCTAAGCACTATGCCCCTTTCGCCATCCCTCTTTGTGCCAAATGCTATGTTGTCTTGTCTTGCTGATTCTTAGCTGCATCTCTTCAATGATAGTCTTTTCTTCTTGGTGGATTGTGGGTCCTTCAAACTGGAACTTTTAAATTTCTAACTCCCTCAGTCACTAGAAGAATTTAAACCATTTATGAAGAATTGACTAGTCCTTTATCAATTAAATACTCTACCTAAATTTCTAGGATAACATAGGAATGTATTCATTTTTCAAGATGTGAGGATTTTGTCAACACCAAGTATTTGTTTAGCATAAATGGGAGAGAATGTACATTTGACATTATTTGGGCAGAAGGGATAGGACAGAATTACTGAGTAGTTCCCCATTTTGGCTTTATTTACCTAAGTTAACATTTTTGAAAAATAAATGTCAGCTGTCCTTTAGTTATTCATCTTATTATAACTATATTTGGTGCTGAAGTTAAATAAATAATCAAATAATAAATAAAAGCATATGTGAATAAATGCAGCCAGGCAAGAACCAATCACCTGTCACTGAAAACCAGACAACAGTGAAGGGAACCAAGTGAGTTAATGTCACGTGGGAGGTGAGCTTTCGTTTGGTATTTCCTCACTTGTGACTAATCAAGCCCAGCTGTGACATGAACTGGGGACACACAGTGTACTCTCCAGGTGTCAGTCTCTGGCTATAGGGCAGATGGAGAATGCCACGCTGCTGAATTTTTTACATAAAACTGGCACTAAAACCCAACAGATTTGTATTTCACCTGCCTTCATACTGACTACAGGCTCAACCTTCATTTCAAAAGGGAACATGGGTAACTCCACCCTTAAAAAAAAAAAAAAAGACCATGACCTTAAACATGCTTCAGAAAGTACAGCGAGGATATGGGGATGTCTAATGTATTCTATGTAATAAAGTATTAATACGATGTCTAGGGAGAAAGCTGTGAGAGACACTGACAGTCTCATGCCACTATTATTTCCGGTCATTAATATTTAGTCACAAGAACTATACTGATATTATAGTTGTACTGCCATCACCCCATTTTACTAAGCTAAAACTGATAAATTTGAGGGATAATTTGTTTATTTTTAGCAATAGATCAACATTTTTTAAAGAAAGGGATTTGGAGAGCTTAAGAAGGACAAAAAAGGCGTTCTAAATCTGCAAAAAAATATATATTAGAGGTAGGACAAGTAACAGTTCTTATAATAGCCAGTGTCAAAATCATCAGTTTTGTTTACATCCACTCAAATATTAGTTGTGCAATAAAATGCCTGACTATATCAAAGATCACATGTATGCAAAACTCTCTACAACAATTTATATGGAAATTTCTTAATGTAATGTTTCCTGTGATGGACCCAGCATTTTACCGCTCTACTTTGTCTTATAATTGGCCTCCCAATTTAACAAACATATAGCTTGAATTTTAAGTATTGTTGCTATTTCTGGGGAAGGAAAGATGCAAATTTTTTTCTGATCCATTTTTTGTAATTAACAAATAAAACCACAACTATTAGCTTCTGATTCATTTTCAGGAGCAGGCGCACTTATCTGGAGCTCAGTTCATTAAATTGCAAGACCTACACAACCATCAGATACACAAGCTTTTGGGTAATCTAAACCAGAAATTCAGGCATGCCTTTGACACCTCACTCTCTGCTCCCTGTAGCCAAAACATCATCAAATGTCCCTCCTAAATGTTTCCCCAAACTTTAAGTCACTCCAACTCCACCACTGTGACTGTGAGGGGGCTGCCAACGCCTCCCCTGCTGACTAAATGGCCTCCTCATGGGTCTCTTGAATCCACTCTGTAATCCATTCATCACATCATATCCATAGTGACGCTTTCAAATATGCCAGTTTGATTAGGTTACCTCCCTTCTTAAGAACCTTCGCATGAAGAAAACCATCCTTAATGTGGATAACAAAGAACTGCGAATCCAGCCTCCCCTTACATCTCTGTCCTTATGTTGTGCCCTGTTTCCCCTAGATCTCCTGACACACATTGGCTCTCATCCATCCGCCATAGCGGGGCTTTTGCACATATGCTTTGACATCACTTTTCGGATCTCAGCTAAGTCATCACCTCTACGAAGTCCAATGCTGCTATTATATAGAGTCACAGCACCCCTATTTGTAAATCTTGTCAAAGCTGCCATTTTATATTTACTTATTAAATATCTGAATGAATACCTCTCCTCAATTAGGCTTTAAGCTCCAGGAGGGTAGAGCCTCTGGGTTGTGGGACTCAACACCATATCCCGAGTATTTAGTTCATAAATCTACATAATAAAACTGGTGGCTTGGTTAATTAATTAATTACATCACACATTAACATTCTTCAACTTTGGAACAATGCTTAGCGTCTTTGGCTTGTTTGGCTAGAAAACATTAAACCTACCCAGATCACCACTATCAACATGAGTGAGAGACCAAAAAAGTAAATACTTACCACAGTCAACCTCATCAGTGAGGTCACCACAGTCATCTACCAGGTCACATAACCGAAGCTTCTCTATGCAAGCCTTGGTGTGTCGACACCAGAAATGATGTGGCCCTTTGCAGCTCTCCACAGGGAGGGGAAGGGTACAGTTTTCAAAGTGGATGTCATCAATAGCGGACACCCCATCATATATGCCCAGACTGACTTTTTCTAGTGACAGATGGAAGGGCTGAGTGAGGCGCCCAAGCTGGATGGTAGCCTGGGACCACCGGTTGCCCTGGTTATATAATACTCTCCAGAGCACGGTGGCGCCTGTGGAGTTTCCCCCATGGAGCTGCAGCACCGCGGCTCCCACGGAGAGGCCATAGTTATAAAACCTGAACAAGAGCAAACAAAAGACATGGAGAGATGATTTATGGGGCAGGCTACATATTTAACGTTTAGACTCTTCCACTTGGACAACAATTAATGAGCAGTTATCATGATAAACGCCTTCATTTATCGCAGTCATTGTGGCTGCAGTTTGCCAGAGCTTATCTCCTAAGGTGCATACTCTGGCCCTCACAACCCGGGGTGCTTTTCTCAGGGAGTTCAGTCCAGAAGAGAGGAAGCAGTGTTAATTAAATGACAACCTATTGTTGGAGGGAAAGAGCCCTTTTCATCTCAAGGAAGAACACAACAAACATGGATAATGTGCTCCTAAGTAAAATGTTTATTGTGTAATCTAGTCAGCAGGGGTCGGCAAACTTTTGAGACGGAAGAGCCGCCAGGGGTTAGCAAACTGCGAGGAGCCACATGCGGCTCTTTGGGTACATACATGTGGCTCTGAAGTAAAATTGAAAATGAAAATAAAGCTATCATAGTTTCATTTATAAAAATTTTAAAAGATATTATTCACATAATGGTGATTTCGTTTGTTTTATAGTTCTCACAAAACTTCGAGGGACAGGATTGGCTCTTCTAGGGGTCGGCAAACTTTTGAGATGGAACGTACCCAAAGAGCCGCATGTGGTTCATGAGCCACAGTTTGCCGACCCCTGGTCTAGTGCAATAGCCATTTTTAAAGCAAAACCAGGGCAAATCATAATGTCTAATAAATGTGAGGCTATGCTTGTAACCACTGGGCTGCTAGGATAATTGACCATTGTTTTCAATATTTACCAGAAAGAAAGGATACATCCAGGTCCTGTCTGACTGAAAGTTGGGCTCTGGAGCTTAGCAACTTGTGACAAGCTGCTGCTTTTCTTCAGGATGAACATAAAATGCCCTATGGATGCAAAAATAAATCATAAATTAATCTATTGAATTCTGAAGTGAAACATCGGTCTCTTAACCCTACCCTAAATAAGTTCCATGTCCAACTAAAATTAAGACTATACAACAATTAAAAATCAATAAAAGCGATTGTTAGTCACATTTGCTCTTATAAATATTAAAGTATGGTCTACATCTAGGTCTAAAGGATGCCAAAAACCATTGGCAATTTCAGTTAATTCAGTCAAAAACATATCTATACTCCATCCCCACCACCCATAAAGGAATAATTCCACACAGACAACATAAGTATAATTGACAATATTCAACTGTCCTACTATTTGTTGTGATCACATAGAACATTCTCTGCTTCTCTTTCTCGTCTCAGACCTGACGAAAGGGAAACTGAAGTAATTACAAAGAGCCTCTGCGTGTTTCTTACCTTGAGCTGTGTTGTGAGTATGATCACGAGATGGGGCCTGTTGCTCAAAATCAGCAGAAAGGCTGCTTCTAGAGCTCCATATCCAGTCAAAGTGGTCACCACTAATTGCTTCAAACCAACCACAGCTATTTGCTTCAAAGTCACATTCGGAAACTGAAGAACAAAAGTGTGGCCCTTAGTTTGGCTCTCCAAAGTGTTCACACACTTTATTTCTTTATTTATGTATTTTATTTATTTTTTAAAGATTTTTATTGGGGAATTAGGGAAGGGGAGCAGTGTTGGGGAATTGGTTAAGAGGAACAGTCAAGTTGTTGTCCTTCAATCTTAGTTGTGGAGGGCATAGCTAGCTAAGCTCCAAGTCCAGTCGCCATCTGGCCGCCTGTTGGCAGCTCAGGACAGCTCAGCTCAAGGAGCCAGGTTCAATCTTAGTTGCAGTTGGGCATTGCCCACCATCACATGCGGGAGTCGAACCCGGAAATCTTGTTGTTAGGAGCACGTGCTCTCACCAGCTGAGCCATCCTGCCACCTGTTGGCAGCTCAGCGGCAGCTCAGCTCAGGCTCAGCTCACTGTCCCATGTGGGAATTGAACGGGCAGCCCTGTTGCTCAGAGCTCAGACTCTTAACCAACTGAGCCACTCAGCCAGCCCCTCACACACTTCAAAAATATCAATGGAAAGCACCTTGTTAGGCTTTTCTAAGGACATCAAAGAACATACGAAGGAAAAAAGGATCCATTCTGATCTAAGGAAAACTAAGGTTGTGCCTATCATACTAGAAATTGATAAAGCAGAACTATCAATTCAAAAAATTCATTTTTTCCCCAAATGTTCTAAGAAACAGCATCATTCAGGCCTATTGCTTATAGAATCGCAAGGGTCTGCTTAATTTATTTGGATACTCATGTTAGTTTCTCTGCTTCTATTATATCATCTGGGAGGATGAATTGTTCCTGTAGAATATTTTACACCAAACCATGGAAGTAGCTGCTTCTAAAAAAATTTAGTATTTGAAAAGTCTAGATCCATTATATGTAATTAATGTTCACCTCCGATTTTTATAGACCTTAGTATTTCCCAAAGCATTGTATGCATTGCTTAATTTGCAAGGCAGGATAATTTCACCCACTTTTCTGGTAAACATGCAGAAAAAAATCAGTTATTTTCCACAAAAGCATTCTAGAGAAGAAAGAGAAGAATAGAAAGGGAAAGAAAGGTTATAATAATAGCAGTGTAGTATTACAGCTAATAGTGAATACCCTATGTAATACATCCTGTGCTCTTAATGCTTTTTTTTATGGTGTTTTTTATTTTATTTTATTTTTTATTTTTATTTTTATTTTTTTTAAGCTGAGCCATCCTGCTACCTGTTGGCAGCTCAGCGGCTGCTCAGCTCGGGCTGGACTCGAACCGCTGTTGCTCAGAGCTCAAACTCTTGAGCGAGCTCTTAACCAACTGAGCCACTCAGCCGGCCCCTTAATGCTTTAATCTAGATCTTTCACAATATCTCTATGGCAAGGTATTATTATTATTATTATTATTATTATTATTATTATTATTATTATTTTACAGAGAAAGAAAGGGAGGTTTAGAGAAGTTACTAAATTTACCAAGGTCATATAGTTAGGAAGTTATTGAGAGGGATTGAAATCTAAATATTCTGACTCCTAGTCTCATGTTCTTTCTGCAACTGTTGATAATAACTCTTAAATGTCATTTGATCAGAAACAGGATAAACCAAAGAGGCAAAATCTGAATTTGCTTAGTGTGAATGTTACTACACATCCCGATGCAAATGAGGTTCATTCTCATTGGTGATTATTACTTTGGGATCCTCGCCCAAAGGCTACTTTAACTCAAGGATATAGTAATAGACTACCTAGATGTTCCTTTGTAAAAGAACTTAGGAAGTAAGCAATAAGTTTAGGGGACAAAAGTATAAAGTGTGTCACCCAATGAGATTGTAAAATTTAAAATTGTAAGGGCATTTTAACCTAATTATAAATCATTTTCAATTTTGAAAATGCTACTACTACACAAGGAGGAATGTGAGGTGCATGTAATATTACAAAGACTTTCTAATTTTTTATAGTTAATATGTAATATCTGATTTCCAAAACAAATTTGTTTTCTGTCAAGTTTCCTGGTCCCAACAGAGTACTTTCAAATTTTATCAAAAGTCAATGAGAATGTATGAATACATTAAAAAATAAATACTTTAAATATGTTGCATCAACTTTAATAAGCAAGGGATGACTATATTACAGTATATATAGACAATTAGAAATCAGCAAAGTAAAGTACTGCTATATTTAGAATACAGATTGCGCAAATAAAGTTTAGATATCTGTAGTGAAACAACATTAAATGCCACTAAATGGGAAAAATAATAATGATAAATATGGCAAATAAGGGATATATATATATATTAAGAATATTTAAGTCTATTTTTAAAGGCCATCTCTATTTGTAAATACATAATATACAAATAACTCATAAACATACATAAATTCCAGGAGTTTCAAAGTATGTTGATACCATTTCAACCCCTGAGGAAGTAAATATACTGATTCCTATTTCAGACAATCTTAAAAACAGGATGCAAGAGTGCTTGTTATACAAATATCAAAAGGAAACAAATTATTGCTACTGTGTAATATCTATCCCACATAGCTACCGAGTAAGAGAACCATACCACCTGCCATCCAAGAAGATATTGCTGTGGAAATAAATGGATATTCAAATGGTAGTAAAATTTAGAAACTTCTGCAGAAATTTTATAGTTCTCTTAGGCCCTTAAAGATAGTAATTTTTAACAGATGGTTATGCTGTTAAAATTCAAATATGCTATAATATACTTTGTTATTATATATTTACATTTCTATACACATTTAAAAATGCACCTTGATTGATCACAGATGTAATAATCAAGGTGAAATTAATCTTCTAGTTAATTATTAATCAAATATAGACCTCATTAAAACAGCTTTTGAAAATAGCGTGTGTGTATTTTTTTTAAAGAAACACAATATCCTTGTTATGTCTTAATAATTGAGATTCAAGGATTTTTCATTTTTTCTGGAGTGTCCTTAATAATTTCTCAATTATCATCATCATCAGGCCTACCTTTTTTTTTTTTTTTTTTTTTTAGCTGAGCCATCCTGCCACCTGTTGGCAGCTCAGCGGCAGCTCAGCTCGGGCTGGAAATTGAACCACTGTTGCTCAAGCTCTTGAGCGAGCTCTTAACCAACTGAGCCACTCGACTGGCCCTTATCATCATCATCAGAATCATCACAATTTGCAATAACAATTGCAGTTACCATTTACTCAGGGATTTTTGAGAACCAAACTTTGGATTTGGGACTGTTATATGCATAACAGATTTCTAAAAATATGCATGTCTATTCTACAGCTATGGGTAGAAAAGCAAGTGACTCAATAGCAGCTCTTAATTATTTTATGTATAATTATCCTTGTGGCCTCAATTAGTTATGGAAATATAATTACAGTAGTTGTCCCTGGGGAGAGAATGCTAGGGGATATTTTGTGGACTGATAAATAGGTCCATCACCATACACTGTCATTTTTAGAGCTTTTTCACTCACACAAAAGTAGATTAATTCATGTAGGAGTCAAGGAACCTTGTGAGAGAAAAAAAAAATATGTATCCAGACCCTGTCTGGTTTCAGATTCACTGTCTTAGAGCTTCTTTGATGGTTCTGGGTGATCCCCACAAAGGTTGATTTCTACAGAAAAAACACAAAGTGTACGCTGATCATTTGGACCTCGCGAAAAGACTTAAGAATTTATAGAAAGGTGCTCCTTGACATTTACCAAGAAAAGTTGAAAACTTCCGTCCACACAAAAACCTACACATGGATGTTTATACTCGTAGAAACTTTATTCATAATTGCCAAAACCTGGAAGCAACCAAGATGTCCTTCGGTAGGTGAATGGATAAACTGTGATATATCCAGACAATGGAATATTATTCAGTGATGAAAAGAAATATGCTATCAAGCCATGGAAGGACACAGAGGACCCTTAAATGCATTATTAACTGAAAGAAGTCAATCTGGAAAGGCTACATACTGTATGATTCCAACTGTATGACATTCTGGTAAAGAAAAAATTATGGAGACAATAAAATGATCAGTAGTAGTTGCCAGCAGTTGGGGAAGGATGAATTGATGAATCACAAAGGTTTTTTATGGCAATGAAACTACTCTGAGTGATACCAGAATGATGGATATATGTCACTATACATTTGTCAAAACCCATCAAATGTACAACAAGAGGGCCAGCCGAGTGGCGCGATGGTTAAGAACT